TTTTTTCTGCTCTCAGTGAATTCCTCTCTTTTTCATCCCTCTATTCAGGCTTACTTTGTGCTGAATTTACTCTTCTGTATTTAGTTTCTTAAGGTGCAAGCTCAGATCATTATAGATCTTTCTTTGTTTCTATTGGAGACATTTAGAACTGTAAATTTTCCTCTAAACAGTGCTTCATGTAAAATGAAATGGTAGTAGTATCCAAGTGTATAACACTACTAATTTTTTGTCCATTTCTTCTATGAATTACTCAGAAAGAGTGTTGAAATCCCCAATCGTAGCAATAGATTTGCTAGTTATCCTGTCAGGTGTTTTTCCTCAGTTATTGCTTCATGTGTTTTGAAGCTTTGTTATTAGGTGCATACACATTTAGATTTTTTTTTTTTTTTTTTTTTTGTCCTCCTGATGAACTGATCCCTTTAGCAATAATCTTTATTCTTGTGAGAAGTTAGGGTGATGATTCATTTTCATAAATACAAAATAAAAAGCTAGGCAGCCTAGTTAACAGTAGGTTTACAAGCCCCGCAATGGAGTCCCAAATCCTTAGACGCTTTGTCTCCTAGTTCTTCTTCCCCTCTCCATTTCACGAGGCTATTTTCATAGGCTTTGCAATGAGCATTTGCCAAAGAACAAAGGGAGGAGGGACTAAAAGTCTCTGTCACCTCAGGGGAATGTACATTTGTTCCAATCAGACTAATTTTTGCCCTATGTGGGCATCGGCGATGTCTGGGTAAGGCTGTGACCTCTGTAGTACTCAGCCAATGAGGAACCAGGGGCAGGACTTGGACGCTAGGAGATAAATTGTCTGCTATAACTGCTCAGAGTGTACCTGTCAGATACTAGCTCTTGCAAGTATGTTGATTAAAACCTCACTTCACATGCTCTGATTCTCTGAGTCTCTCCTTCCATTGGGTTGGTGGGCCTATTTCTCACGTTCTGAGGTCTATTTTCTTTGATATTAGTATGATCACTTCAGATTTTTTTTTTTAATTTGAGTTTTCATGGTCTATCTTTTCTCATCTTTTTTACTTTTAACATTGCTGTATTTGTATTTTTGATGGTTAATTTTACGTGTCAACTTGATGGAACCATAGGGTGCCCAGATATTTGGTTAAACATTAATCTCAGTGTGTCTGTAAGGGTGTTTCTGGATGAGACATTTGAATTGGTACATTGAGTAAAGCAGATTGTCCTCTGCAATACGGGGAAGGGGGACTCATTCAATCAATCGGAAATGTAAATAGAGTAAAAAGGAGAAGTAAGGAAGAATTCACCCTCTCTGCCTGTTTTTGAGTTGGGACATTGGTTTTCTCTTGCAGTTGAACTGGAAGCTGTACCATCAGTTTGGGTTCTCAGGCCTTCAGACTTGGATTGAAACCCTACTGCTGTCTTTTCTGGGTATACAGCTTACAGATGGCAGACTGAGACATCTTAGTCTCCATAATCATGTGAGTCAACTCAATAAATATATAAATGTAAGGAGATTTTTTAATATATATGTATATATATAATATGTATTTGTCTATGCATGTATTTGTCCCATTGGTCTGTTTCCCTGTTGTCTCCTGATTAACACAGTAAACTGAATTTCTTGTAGAAAGCATATAGTTAGGTCTTGCTTTTTAATGCAGTTTAAACCACTCTGTCCTTTTTTTTCCCCTTTATTTTATTTTAATTTTTTTGGCAATGAATTTCCTGTTTCATTGAAAAAACATTTTTCCTTCCTTCCTTCCTTCCTTCCTTCCTTCCTTCCTCCCTTCCTCCCTCCCTCCCTTCTTTCCTTCCTGACTTCAAAATATTTGTGTCATTATCTTCTGGCTTGCATGGTTTCTGACAAAATGTCTGCTAATATTTCTGTATTTGTTCTTTAATATATTCCGTATGCATTTTTTAACCACTTTTGAGACTTTATCACTGTTAGTAATTTGGTTACAATGTTACTTGGCATGCTTTTATTCATGTTTATTTTTTATATTCTTTATACTTCTTGTATTGGTGCGCAGATTATTTGGATCAAATTTCAAAAAAAAATTAGTATTATTTCTTCAAATATTTTTTCTATTCCTTTCTTTCACCTCTTTCAGGATTCTATTACAAATTTATTACACTGCTTGATAATGTCTCAGAGGTCATTGATGCTTTCTTCATAGTTTTCAATCTTTTTTTCTGTGTTGCATTTTGGATAGTTTCAACTGATATGTCCTAATAGTTTCTACTACTCCAATGATTTCTTTTCAACGGTCTATTGCCATACTTTTTTTCCGCAGTGACTAATATGCTGCCAATTTAAACCAAATCACTTTTCATTTAATGTTTATTTTTCATCTTCAGAAGTGGTCTTTTTCATATCTTTAATTTTTTTTCATCATACTCATGTGTTTTTCTACCACCATGAACATATGGAGCGTATTTATAACTATTTCAAGATGCTTTCCTGGTAATTCCCTTATCTCTGTCATTTCTAGGACTATTTCTAATGATTGATTTTCTCCTGGTTAGAAGTGATATCGTGCTGCTTATTTGCATATCTAGTAATTTTTTTAATGGATGCCAGATGCTGTGAATTTTCTATTGTTGCTAGCTGGATTATATTGTATTCCTTTAAATAGTGTTGGATTTCATTTTGGTGTCCTGTTAAGTCACTTGGAATCAGTTGGATCATTGTGAGATGTACTTTTAGATTTTGCTATTATGGAAGAAGAGGAGCTTTTGTTCTGGGGCTAATTCAGACCCACGACCAATATGTGGCCTTTCTGGGGATTCCACCCTATTATTGTAATATAATGTCTTTCCATTCCGGCTGGGAGCAATGCAAACTACTCTCAGGCTGGTGTGAGCATCCGGAATTGTTCTCCCTGGTTTTTCTGGTGGCTCTTTCTCTGAGCTTAGATCGTTTTCTCCCAACCTGCACTGATTAGTACTCAGCCAAAAACTGAAGGTAGCCTCTGCAGGTCCTTGGAGCTCTCTCTGGGTCGCTACCAGAAGCTCCCTCCTTTCTGCGATTCCACCCTTAAATACTAGCTGCCTTAGCCTTCCAGAACTGTTTTCTCTGTTTCTTCAACTCAGAGAGACCATAAGGTCCTTCTGGGTTTTCCCTCCCTGATTTGCATGCAGCCTGGAAACTGCCTCCAGGCATCAGGCTGGTCTGAGGGCATGGTTCACTTTGTTTCCCTTTTCTCAGAGATTATGGTCCTGTGGTGGTGCTGCCTTTCAATGTCTGAATACATATGTGTATATATATATATATATATATATATATATTCCTATTTTCTCACTTGTTTAAAATGGGAGGGTAAATTTGGGTTTGTTGTTCCATTTTGGCTACAAGGATAAGTCAATATACATTTTTTTGTGATAGAAAATTAAAATTTTGAAAACAGATACTCGTCTACAAAATGAAGGAATTTATAGGCAAGTTGCTTAACTGATCAAAACCTTAATTTCCTTGCACATAGGGAATTAATAACAATGCTTCCGTACTTGAGGAGTGGATTGGAACTAGGATCCAATGTGACAGAGGAAGTTCTTTGTAAACTATAAAGCTCTATGCAAATGACAATGTCAAGGCTGTGGTAGGGAAGGGGTGCTAGGGATGGTGATGATTGCTTCAGTTCCATAACAATTCAAGTAATAAAACTATGTTTTAAGAAGATTTCATTTCAAAAAAATCCTGTGAATAATAATAACAGCACATACTCTGGGTCTTGTATGTAAGCAAACATCCTTTTCCAAGCTGGTTTTAAGCAAAGAGAGAATGTATTTGCTCATTAACTATGAAGGCCAAGGTGGTGGGCCAAGCCCAGCTAAATACAGAGTTCCAGTGCTGTCAATGTTGTCTCTCTCTCTCTATGTCTCTGGCTCTCTTGCCTCTGCTCTGCTTCCTTCTCAGACTTTCTCCAGGTGGCAGCAAGATGGTTGTTGACAATTCCACCTCATATTCCAACAGCTTGGCAAACTGAGTAGACAGAATGAGCCTTTCGACAATTGCTCTGGCAGAAAATTTCTGAATCTGATTTGGGTGATTTTCCCATTTCTGAACCAATTGTCGTCACCAGGAAAAAATGATATTTTAATTGGCCAGGTCTCTGAAATCAGGGACATTTTATTAGATACCAAGGATTCAGAGCTCAATAAGATATGATCTTTGATCTCTCAGTTAGCAAAGTCTTTACAGGGCACAATGAATTACAGAGGAAGGTATGGTTAGTTCTACTCAGTAATCAGAGAGAAGACCACAGTATGTTTCCTATGTTTGGGTACTTCCTTTCGTATCCTTGCTTATGCTGCGCTACTTTGCTTCATGGATTACTAAGAAAACAGGCAACCCACAAGGACACTTTGACAAAAGAATCTTTACAGCCACAGAAAAATACAAAATCACTATGCTCCGTAAACTACATGACTATAAGGGAAAAGTAAAAGTAGCATTGACCCATCTCTGTCTTCACTCTTCAGGTACAGTGTACTTAAATAATGTGTTTTTTTGTAATACTCCTTGATGTTATTTTTGTTTGTGCTATATCTCGCAGACGACATAGTCAACCACTGGAAAGCAGAAATAGACTGTGTTGTTTTTATCTTTACATTCCCCTCAGTCTTGACAGAGTGCCTTACCCATATTAGGAGGTGAGTGAATTATTTGTTGAATGTATGAATGAGTGGCTAGCTAGTTATATATGGTATGTGAGGTATCCTTCTAAGTGCTTTACCTATATTTACTCATGGTATCTTCCCAGCAATCCTATGAAGTAGATTCTACTTATTCCTCATTCTACAAATGAGGAAAGTAATACCCAGAGAGGCTGTTACCTACCAAAGAGCCTGTAGGTAAGAACTGGATGGCAAAACCCAGGCAACCTGGTTTTAGACTGCTCTAGCTGCTGTCTTAGTTTTGAAAAACAAACTTACTGAAATACTTCATTAAAGAATAGGAGACAGAAAGAGAGAACACGAATGTTGTACGTTTTAACAGCAACAGCAACTGGTCACCTACGACGGAAACAGAAAGATTACACTTAGCTTAGAATTTGTCAAAGCATGAAGGTGTTATCCATTAACTGGATGAGTCAAATGATGATGCGAGGGAAAACCTTCAACCGTGAGTGAAAGCAGTCATCTGAGTGGCTGTTAGTATTGTCTGAGGGCTGAGAAATGACTCCCTTTTGTTCTTAGGTAGACATGCAGAAACAAACAAAATGAAGTGACAGTTTGTTTCACCTCTTGGTGATGCAAAGAAACCACATTGTGAGTTCGGTGGACAGCAAATTATTTGACTCGTACAATAAAGTTTAATAAACCTGGCTGTTGTAGAGGAAACTCAAGACTTTAACAATAGCAACGAGAACAACAGCAGCAACAGCAGGTAAGCACAGGACCGACCGCCGTTACAGCAATCTAGACTCTCGCAACTGTGGATGGAGCGATTCTGACTGTTCGCCTCTTTGATCTGTGATGATCACTTTTATCTTTACTCTTTGGATAACTTGGCTCAAATCTAGTCAGTAGTCGTGGATGGCTCCAGGAAAAATTGTCATTTGAATAGTTTCTTGGTGCTACCTCTTTAAACTCTTTTTCTTTGAGTATTGCCTTGGTATACTCTTGTCTCTAAGTAACTTTAGTATAAACAGTAACAAAATAATTTTAATCACATCAGAAGAAGTTTAGAGGTAGGGCAATTTTCTGAGTTGCCAATTAGCTCACAATGTTATCAGATCTAGTTTTTTTTTTTTTTTAATCTACTGTAGGCACTTTATTTTTTTTCAAATTTTTATTAAATTCTAGTTCGTGAACATATAGTGTAACGCTGGTTTCAGGAATAGAATTTAGTGATTCATTACTTACTACAACACCCAGGGCTCATCACAAATGCTGTCCTTAATACCCATCACCTATCTAGCCCATCTCCCACCCAACTCCTTCCAGCAACCCTCAGTTTGTTTTCTATGGTTAAGAGTTTCTTATGGTTTGCTTCCCTTTCTTCCCACCCCCCCCTTCTCCTATGTTCATCTTTGTTTGTTTGTTTGTTTTTATCTCTTTGTTCAGATAGTCACATGTTAGTTAGCTTCTCAGGCTGATTCTCCTCTTGGTCACAGAATGGCTGCCAGTTAGCAACTGCCATCCTTATTCATGCAGAATGGTTGAAAGAGTCTGGCTGTCTGTGACAACATCTTGAGAAATTGAAAGAATGTATTATATGGAAATAAATTACTACAGGCCACAAAGTCCTTGATTCAATAATGAGCACAATTACAGTTAAATTCAGGAACCATAATTGCAAAGCTACTTAACTAAAAACTTTAGTGAAGAAGCTGCTGACACAAGATTTTAGAAAGTGAAAAGCACTGGACCAGGCATTAGTCTTTTCCTCTGGAGATAGGGGCAGGCAGAGCTAATGTTGGGAAAAATACACATAACTGCTGCCATAACATTTACATTTTACATATAGTTAATCTGTGTATAGTCATAAAAACATTTTGGTCTACTTGTGAATGAGTGGAGTTTTCCTGTGATACTCAAGGTTTACTTTAAAGCAATCTTCTAAATAGTGATTTGAGTCTTCGAGACATTATTTAGAATGTTGTTCAGTTTGTTGTAGAGAATTGTGTTTGTTTTTTTTTCACATCATAAACACTTTGTTATTTGAGATTAACTTTGCTCACCAGTCTGGTGTCACATAAATGATGACCACACAGCCCCTAGCGGCAAATCAGTAGGTGAGGGTTGAACATTTTCTTATTGAGTCAGGAACATATTTTGAAAGCATTTCTCCTCACGTAATGGAATGCATAACCAGCAATTAAAATAAGTTGAAAAACACAATGCAAGATCTTGTTTTTTCCATACCTAGAAAACTTCAGCACATCTCTTGTCACGTAGCTTTACCTATAAACACACGTGTGCATATGCTCCACACAGTCATATTGGATGAGGTAAAAAGCTGTTATGTTTTACCTAACTGCTGTTATTTTGGTTTCCAAAATCTTGAATTAAATGAGATTGCTTTTACCTCTCAGAGCCATGTTAAATGTTAGAGATCGTATAAGAAATGATGGTTGCTACATTCAGGGACATTACCATCTATTTCAGAAATAGGTGAGCAATTGATAAAATTGTAAAACTGTGAGTAACCAATCCCACATTCTGTGCTAGAGATTTCAAGTGCCACAGGGAACACTCCAATAAAGGAGGTGTGCCCAATGCAATCTAGTGTCTCATTGTCTCTGGCACTCTCTCCGGTCCACAAAGCTCAGTAAAGGCCCAAAATGCAAATAACTAATCATGGGTATTTGGCATTAGCACCTGGATTCACATATAAGCAAAGGGACTTTTAAAATTGAATGCTGTATGTTCAACTAGGCTAATGTAAAATAACAATGATTAGATTAAAATCCAAATAGTGGAAAAAGACATTCTGTCAACTCATTCTGAAGATATTACTGGTCGTCGGGCACAATTGTGGGTTTTATAAAATAAATATTATAAAATATAAAAAACCTAAATATAAACTAAATACAAAATTTGATATTCCATATTCTTTATACTTTTGATTCTATATCAATTTATGTCTGTGATGTCTTTTTTTTAGGAAAAAAAAGAAAAAGATTATACTTTTAGGAGGGAAAAATCCTTTAGCTAAGAGAGTCATATACAAGACTCACTCAATGGTGTCGGTTGCTATTGAAGATCAATAAGAAACAGAACGCATAGTCCTTGCTCTCAAAAGTTTATAATCTGGGGCGCCTGGGTGGCTCAGTCGGTTGAGCGTCCGGCTTCAGCTCAGGTCACGATCTCGCGGTCCGTGAGTTCGAGCCCCACGTCGGGCTCTGTGCTGATGGCTCAGAGCCTGGAGCCTGTTTCGGATTCTTTGTCTCCCTCTCTCTCTGCCCCTCCCCTGTTCATGCTCTGTCTCTGTCTCAAAAATAAACGTTAAAAAAAAAATTAAAAAAAAAAGTTTATAATCTAATGAGGGAGAAAACAATGAGGCATGTGAACTCAGAGGAGAGCAGTAAAACAGCAAATCATACCTTCCTGTGAAAAATTTTGCTAATTCCAACGTGGTTTTTTTGTTGTTGTTTTAATCTGAAGTAATTCTGCCATGATTTGCTTTACTTGCCTAATGATAGACATAGGCTACACCAAGGTCAAGATACACGTTCAGGACACAAGATCAGGATAGGATACACCAAGATCCTGGTCAAGAACAGAACATTCTTGAGCCTGGGGAGTATTTAATTTAATAGTTATTTTCTAATATTTCTTTCCTCTCCTGAGTTTAAAAATTAATCCCACACCTAGAAGTTAGGGAAACGTTAGAAGTCTTTCTATTGAAACTTCAGAGGAAATTCTTTAGAATATTTTATATGTACTTGGCTTCCAGGATCCTCTTGGCTCAATCCTTGCTCCTACTGTGAACAAAGGTCAAATATAACTACTGTAAACTTTTCATTAGGGTTCATCCTTTGGCATTTTAAATGTTTCTGTGAAGAGGTCTTGAAAGGCCTCAACGATTAGATATCCTAGACCCTGCTACAGTCCCCCCAAAACTTTGAGTTGGCTTAGAAACTAAAGGGAAGGAGAAAAGGAGAAATAAGGGGAGTAGACAAGCAGGAATAGGACGAGAGCTTTTAGAGGGGAAAAGGTCTGTTTTTGTTTTGTTTCATTTTAAGACGAGGGTAGGAGACAAAAAGCCATTGGCTCTCCTGATGGCGGTGAAAATGGCGAACGCCTGGCTGTTCCTCCTGTGCTCTAACCACCACACCGCCATGTCCTGCTTAGTTTTCAGAAATGCATTTTATTGATCCTACACTTGTTTGGTATACAAAATGAATTTAATAAACTTGGGACACATATAAAAATAAAACATGATTCATCAGTCAAAAGAATTTCCTGACCAAGGGCACACTGCATTACCTTAGGAATACACCCCAAACCACAGCATTTCTCTAATGCTGCTTTTTAAAAATTCCTGACCTCCCACCACTTCTGTTCTCACAGATTTTTCCCGTTTTAGCAGTACTCTCATCCCATCAAACGGCTTCAGCGGTGTTATTTATTTGGGTAAAAATAACAGGAGTGGAGATGAGGGACTCATCAATTCCAACTTAGAAAAATGACTGAAATTATCTGGTTGTGGAGTCACTTTCTTTTTCACTTCATAAAACATCCCAAATATTCATCACGTATCAACTTTCTGAGTGCATTTCAACATGACCGTGTGTTTGTCAGTTCAAATACTTTGCACAGCCCTGTCTGTCTGAAGCAGCTGATGGCGCCTTCGGTTTCACTCCTGGTCTTCAAGCTCTCGCACAAGAAGCGGGGCTTCCCCACAAGTTCCTGACCCATCTCCGGCTGCCCATTCCTCTGTTCTTCAGGTCAGGGCCCTGGGAAAGTTGCTGCTCTGAGGGAAGGGAACCGGGGCCCAGGTGCCTGGTGATAGGTATTGGGTACACTGGAAATGTACTTCCAGACTGGTCTGAGAGCACCTTTGAAGGGGAAAATCTGAACCAGACAGGTAACTGGACAGAATGGGAAAAACACTGGTCTGGGAGTGACCTCAGTGATCTGAGCAATTACTTAGCATCTCTGACTCTCAATCCTCTCCCCTTATGAAAAGCAGCAACACAATGAGAGCCCACAGTCCTCAATTCCCATCCTGTTTACCTCACTGATATATATTATGGTGATCAAATTTCATTGTGTATAGCAAAATCTTTTTATTTTTTATTTTTTAATGTTTATTTATTTTTGATAGTGGGGGTGGGGGGAGGAGCAGAGAGAGAGAATCCCAATCAGGTTCTGAGATGTCAGCAAAAAGCCTGCCTTGGGGCTTGATCTCAGGAACCATTTAATCACGATGTGAGTCGAAATCAAGAGTCTTATGCTTAACTGACTGAACCGCCCGGCATGCCTGTGACAAAATCTTTTCAGACTCTTAGGCACATCACAAATCATCAGCTCTCATTAACATAGATACCCTGAACACTGTTAAGCATTTTGCCCCAGGACTGTGGCCACGGAGGTAGTTTCCTTGAGTTCAGTTACATGGTTCCCTTCCTTCCCCCACTTTACCCTATAGCAGCCACATGCAAAGGTAGCACGTGATACCTGTGGCTATCTATGCTAAGAAGGCTGTTACCTACCACCCCACAACACATTTCCTAATTTAAAGAAAAACTCATTTGTTAACATTTCCTTCTTTCTTCATCCTTTCATCTGTGAGAGTTATTATGACCATTCAGATCGTGGTGGTGTAAAAAGTCATCCCAAGGTGTTTCTCTTGCAGGAAAAGAATCAAGACATCTGTGGATGACGCACTAAGGTAGTCACTGGCAACCTCCCTTCCATTTCTGGGTTGGCTCATTG